GTAGTATTTTCATATTTATCTCTAGTATTGTATTTTATTAATTACACAATCATATAATTTAATGAGAATTCATTTTAGTAGTTTCCTTTCAGAATTGTTTACATTGCTTGATACTGCTTCATCCTACTAGGGGATTTTATCCTTAAATTGATGCAATTCTTTTATTATTGAAGGGTGCCATTTGGCCACGGTGCCACTTTGGGTGCCATGACTGTAGTTGCTGCTGAAGTTCAAGTTCATAGTCCTATGGTTTAACTCCCCTGCTACACTGTACAAAATTACAACTTGGCTGTGGGTTATGGCAAGCATAAAGTTGGCATGTTACAGAGCAGATGTCATATGGTCTGTAGTCATTTGGCAAAACCTACTAGTGAATTGAGCAAAGAGTTACTTCTTTCAGTGGAAGTGCTGATCACAGTGATTGTGTGATCACAGTACCTGTGGTATTGTGCTAGAAGACGCCGTCAAGGTAGCTGTTGCTGCTAGTGAGCTCTAACACCATGTTTGAGTAGCTGTTCCTTGACTGAATCATGCCATAGGGGTGACTTATCCCAGTTTGTTTCCGAGCTGAAAATTAATTTTAAGTAACAGCTTCTAGAAATATACAAAATAAATTTTTCTGTTAAGCATGCACATGTTAACATAGGTTATTATTGGCATCTGCTATAAGGCAGTATAGGATGTATGTATTTTCCCTGTTACCCACTTATAATACAGATCGAATCCAGGGGCTTCTTGCTCAATTCATTGAATCTCTGTTTTGAATTGTTAAAAAGTGAGGGGAGCTTTTAGACCTGACATGACCTGGCAGAACACACATCTTCTGCAACTACCTGAGCATTTGGGAAAATTCATTGGATCATGTCGAACCTTGAGGGAGAAACATCCCTCACACTTACCTCAGACGTAGGCAAAAAGTCTTCCTTGATACCATCACTAACTGTTGAAACAGATGTCATCTATCTGGACTTCTGTAATGCCTTTGACATGGTCCCCCACAGCATCCTACTCTCTAAATTGGAGACACATGGATTTGATGGGTAGACTGTTGGGTGGATGAGGAAGTAGTTGGATGGTTGCATCTGAAGGGTAGCAATCAATGGCTCAGTATCCAGATGGAGGTCGGTGACAAGTGGTGTCCCTTAGCAGTCTGTATTGGGACTAGTACTGTTTAGTATCTTCATCATTGACATAGATAGTGGGATTGAGTGCACCCTCAGCAAGTTTGACACACCTGAGGGACAGGATGCCATCCAGAGTGACCTGTGTGAGCCTCATGAGGTTCAACAAGGCCAAGTGCAGGGTCCTGCACCTGGGTTGAGGCAATCCCCAGTATCGGTACAGGCTGGTGGATAAAGGGATTGAGAACAGCCCTGCCAAGAAGGACTTGGGGGGTATTGGTGGATGAAAAGCTGGGCATGAGCCAGCAATATGCGCTTGCAGCCCAGAAGGCCAACTGTATCCTGCGTTGCATCTAAAGAAACATGGCCAGCAGGTCGAGGGAGGTGATTCTGCCCGTCTGCTTGGCTGTGGTGAGACCCCAACTGGAGTCCTGTATCCAGCTCTGGAGTCCTCAGCACAGGAAAGGCATGGACCTGCTGGAGTGGGTCCAGAGGAGGGCCACAAAAACAATCAGAGGGATGGAACACCTTTCCTATGAGAACAGGCTGGGAGACTTGGGGTTATTCAGCCTGGAGAAGAGAAGACTCTGGGGAGATGTTACTGCAGCCTTCCAGTACTTAAAGGAGGCTTATAAGAAAGATGGGGACAGACTTTTTAGTAGGGCCTGTAGCGATAGGTCAAGCGGTAATGGTTTTAAACTAAAAGAGGGCAGATCTTGACTAGATACAAGGGAGAAATTTTTCCCAATGAGGGTGGTGAAACACTGAAACAGGTTGCCCAGAGAGGTGGTAGATGTCTCATCCCTGGAACCATTCAAGGTAAGCTTGGATGGGGCTCTAAACAACCTGATCTAGTTGAAGATGTCCCTACTCATTACAGTGGGGTTGTAAGTCAGTCACTGATTGTAGTATTCTTTTCATTCACCTTCTGGGTCATGGATTTCAGAATCGTTTAAATGTTGCTAAAAATTCTTCTCATTAGCAAGGACATGCTAGTGTCCTGCGTCAGCATTTGTTTCCTAGGAAGACTTCTGTTTTTCCCCTTTGTGACTTTGTTTTTTTGGTGTGTGTGGTTTTGGGTTTTTTTGGGGGTTTTTTGTGTGTGTTAGAATGTCTTCTTCATACAGTTTTTCCTACAACACTTTGCAGGTGGTAACAGCTGAGTGTCTCTTTTATATAGCAAATATATCTTAACCTTAGAGCCTATTTAGAAGCTGTTGCAGAAAGTACATTCATACCTATATGGTCTCCTTCCAGCTACTCTGGCAGCATAAAAAATTTCACCATAAAGATCCTCTGACTTTGATGGCCCTAAGATAACAGGAAAATCAAAGTCTGTCCTTCCTTTTGCCTACTAAGGGACCTGAATAACAGTGTTGTTTATACTGGTACTGTTTATCTGCTGTCTTCCATGATTGGTCTGCTTTTAATGACTTGTTTGCCACATTTTAACCATTTTAGGGGGTGAAATTTCTCTTTGCCTCACTATATTGTTGGTTTTTGTTTTTTTTAATGGTTTGGGTCTTTTGAGGGTGCAGCTTGGATAAAGTGAAATTTAATTGATGTTAGTAGACTCAGTGGTTCAGAGTAGAAATTTGAGTGTCTACAGTTTACAATGATCTTCCTTCAAAACAAAGATCACTGGGGAGCAGGTGCAGGAATGTGTTGTAAGAGTTGTGTGTGCTGATGACTTTGATCTAAGTGGGCTGCAGCAAGGATACCAGTTGTCACTGCAGTGGGATAGACTGCACTGGGTAATCTGTCTTGATGAAATTGATTTTGCTTATGGGTAGGTGATTTGTACAAGCTGTGTTGAACCGACTAGCAAGGCAGCTGGTGCTATTGCCTTAAGACAATACAAGTAGATGGTGGGGTCAAAGCACACAAGCATGGCACCAAGAGGGTAAAAGCGCCTTAATTCTAGCCTTGTTCAGTCACCAATACTGCTGTGTAACACTGGGCAAATCCTGATGCTTCCTGTATGTGTCTCCTTACCTGTAAAATTGGGATAATTATGTATGTTAGTCCATTACACTGCATTAATGTTCAACACCAAGAATTGAAAGGGTTTTTGGGTGTTGCGTTTTTGTCTATATCACACTTTAAAATGTTACGTATTTCTTGCCACCATCTTTTCTCCTTCCTTTTCCCCTCAAAAAAAAATATATATCTAGAATAGCTTGGATTCAACAATTTTTTTATACATTCAGTTTTTATACATTCTTTGAGTTCACCAGGGTAGGGGTTTTTTGTTTCCTTTTATCTGTTCAGTGGTTTAAATAGTTTCAAAGACCAGTCTAATGAAGTATAGTCTTCACTGATTAGTCGTGAGCTTTTCTAGGTGTCCTCCAGCTATCATACTTTCCAAGTTTTGTACACTATCAGTATTAAAGTTGCTGATCTCTGGTAAGAGAGCTTGTCTCTTAAACCCTGTTATTTAAAAAAAAGGATTATGTTTGAAGCTTCCCGATGATAAGGAATCTGTTCAAACTCCCATGAACTTTTACAAATGTCACTTAAGAGTTCACTGGTTTCTTGGCTTCCTTCGAAACTCTGGATTTATGTTATACAAACTATGTTCATCTAACCTTTGCTGATAACCAGTTTGGTTGTATGTTCAGCATGTTGTTCCCACTAGCATCCAACTTAATTTCAGGGGTGACCTGATTTTAAGTATGTATGAAGGACCTGAAGGTCATTGACTTTAATGAGAATGGTGATATTTACCACCTTTCATTATTAGGACCTTTTTAGAAGAATTTCGCTTTTTCAAGGGGCTATATCTCCTTAACTCTTCATTTTGTGTTCTTTTTGTGTCTTGGGAACACTTTATTTGCACAAATTTTCAACTTCCTGTGAGAGGGCAGTGGGCTAGGTAGACTTTTTAAATGAATATTAAGGCTGTATTTTAATTTTCAGGTACTTGTAAATTTGTTACTTTTTTTTTAAGTCACTACTTTTGCTCAAATTCTCTGTAAATAAAATAAAAGCCATTTAGCCAGGAAAGCAGATAGCTAGATCTCATTGATGTAACCCTGAAAATTCTGCCCTGCCACTGTAATGACCAGCATGTGCCTCTTACTCTAAGTTATTTGATCACTTTATGTATATTACTCTTGTGAGAATGTGAGGAGGAAGAATATTTGCATTTACAAACATGGCTATAATTGTCTGGTTTACTACTTTTTTTTTTTGCTATGCCTCATAATTTTATGTTCGTTCTGTCTTTTATTATTGTTCTGGCTGAAGATCTTAACTTTCATATATATTTCTGTTTTCCGATTATAACTTTTCTGTGTATAATTTATTATAAACATGTGAAGTTGTCCTTAATAGGTGTGATTATTCCTGTTTCCTACTTCCTTTCATCTCTGAGGCTTCCAGCACAGTCTGTTCTTCCTGCTTTGACTGCCTTTTGACAAATCCAGAATGCAGGATGCATTTACATGTGTTCGCCTTCATGCTGCCTGTGCTGCTACAGCTGAACTAGGCTAGAATTAGCAGTCATGTTTTTTCTTCTAAATTTACCTCCTTAATCATAGCCTTCTAATTCTTTTGGTTTCTTTTTACTTTAACCATTTCTGTTAGTGTCCTTCTCCATTTCCTTCTCCACTTCTATCTGTTTACTATTGGTATTTGTTGTTATATCTGCACTCCTTTGCCAGACAATAAAATGCATCCTCTTACTATTTTGGTTGAGCAGTTTGTTCAGTGCTTTTTCTTGTGTATCTTTCTGCAGAAACAACCAGATATGTTGTAACTCCTGATCAGTTTTATTTAATCAGTCATTACCATAAAATTCTGGTATGTTGTTGCTCATTTTTCTTTTCATTTTCCGTTTGTATTTATAGGTTTTTTTCAATGTTTTTTGTATTCTAGGCACAACATAGGCTTTCCCATTGTAGAATGTTCCTCTGAAGGAGACTTTATTCTTTCCAAACCACCAGACACAGGGGGACTAATTTCTTTTGGCACTGTAGCTGAACAGTTGGTGTATGAATTGGGCAATCCTCAGCGATATCTTTTACCAGATGTCACATGTGACTTTTCGGAAGTTTCCATCACTGAAATTCCAGGTTAGTCCTCTTGCATGTTAAGAGATCTGTGTCAGTGAACTGGGTTATCAAACTAAGACAGTTACTTTAATTTCAATGTTTTCTCTGCGTATTTCCTGTTAAATCAGTTCCTTACCATGTGATACTGTATTAAACTGATTTTTTTTTCAAGGACTTTTGCTAGAAATTCCTTCAGGAATTTTAACTATACTCTTACTTATCTTGCTGGCCGACTAATTTAAATCTTTGAGAACTACTGCTTTTGGTTTAGTTTTTAATGTATGCCTTGCACCTACCAAGTCTTTAAACTATGTATTCTGTGTGAGCAACATTAAGACAGCTCCACTATGATTTCAGTGTATTTTTTAAACTGCAGCTCAGTTTCTTTGCTCAAGAAAGTGCATGTTTTATACATGTTTTCTCATATGCCATTTGAAATTGTTAGTAACAATGGAAAGCTGTGTACCACTACTTGGTAATGGTGTTTTTCTTAGACGATTAGGTGGATCATCTTAAGTGGTAGAAGTGTGCTTAGGCACAGGATTTCTACCAGAGAATCTCTATTCAGAAAAGTCCATTTGCTAGCCTCAAAACTTTTAACAGCCGGTAGACTAAAGATGAGTATAATGTATGTTCTGGGTTTAGCTTAAAAGCAAAACAAAGAAAAAAAAACCCAGGCTTGACAGATTTGAAGATCTGTAGGTTGGATAAGACAGCTTGATAAAAATGTTTAGCTACAGTCATTTGAAGTTTGTTTTTTGCTGCCTTTGTATTAGACATCCTTTTTCATTCTAATGGAACTTATCTGTGACAGCATGCCGAGTGTTATAAAACTTAGAACAATTGAAGTCTCAAATTAAAAACTTACTGTGATAGAACTCAAAACACTGTAGCATCAAAAATGTTTTCCTTCAGTAATAAAAGTACCGTAAAATTGTACAGTGAACTTTGTGCTCATGCAGCATGACCAAACAGCAGTCTGATACAGCTAGCTTGCTGCTCTTAGCCACAGGTTTTTTTTAACTTTTTTTTTTTTAAAAAAAGAAACCCTAACCTTCCTATGAACTTTTAGCTTGCAAATGACCCGATATGACATGTTTGAACTTAAAATGAACTTTCACATGAACTTTCAGTTAGCCCTCTTAGAAATACAACAGATGGAAAATGGGCAGATTTCTTAAGTATTTTTAGTTTGAAGTGCTTTGACACGTACACCAGTAAAAACAGGCAAGCTATCTATTTTTGCTGTTTACATTGATGATTTTTATTGTCCTGCTGGATTACTTGCAGTGTTTGAACTGAGAAGTGCTTCTGTTTTCTTTTTGTCAATGGATGCTCTGCAATTTTTTCTGTGTTTTTTTTTTTTTTTTTTTCTTTATATTACTCCTTCACCTGGAACATGAAACTCTTCCAGATCTTCAGCCTGGCTCTAGGGATATTGCTCTGTATTGAGATAGTTAAATTAACCTTACGTTGATCTTTCAGAGAGTGATGATGTTATTTGAGTGATGTGTAAAATTTCACATTCACTGGTCACATTCACTTTTTCAGATATGTTCTGATTTGATCTCTTCAGAGTATTTGTATAAAGCTTTGAACTGCTTCCTAAATATTTGCAAGCACAGGTTAGGTTCAGGTGAGCTGTAATATAATTCTGTCTGTCTGATATGAGATGCTGATCCTGCACTGGTAATTTTCAAGGGGTTGCACCTGTTGATTTTTCTCCAGTTCAGGCTTGAACCTGAAGCTGTGGCAGCAATTTTCTCCGGTTTCTTTTTGGCATTAATATTGCTAATACTGAACAGGGTAGTTGCCCTGGAACATACATTCAGACTGTTCTGTTTCTGTTACTGACAAGAAGACTGAAGTTAAGTTATCCTTTCACTTACAATGCTATCAGCAAATAAGCTGTCACTGGTTTCTCCTCTTTCTTGTTTTGTTTCTTTGCCAAGTAAAGGTCTGCAGTCCACTCCAGCCAACTACAGTAAATTGTATGCTCTGTGTGTGTGTGCAATAACTGGCTGTTAAGTGGAAAATAACTATTGGGTCTGAAGTCCTAAGGCTGCTTTCTGTGTTGAAGTATTTTTTAAGTACATGAATAAACATTTCAAGCAGTGGTGGGTTGACCCTGGCTGGACATCAGGTGGCCACCAAGCTGCTCTATCACTCCCCTCCTCAGCTGGACAGGGGAGAGGAAATATAACGAAAGGCTCATAGGTTGAGATAAGGACAGGGAGAGATCAGTCACCAATTCTGTCACAGGCAAAACAGACTTGACTTGGGGAAATGAGTTTAATTTATTACCAATCAAAATCAGAGTAGAATAATGAGAAAATAAAAAAAAATCTTAAAACACCTTCCCCCCACACCTCCCTTCTTCCTGTACTTAACTTCACTCCCGAATTCTCTATCTCCTCCCCTCTCAGTGGCACGGGGGGGGTGGGGAATAGGGGTTGTGGTCAGTTCATTACATATTGTTTCTGCTGCTCCTTCCTCCTCAGGGGGAGGGCTCCTCACACTCTTCCCCTGCTCCAGCATGGGGTCCCTCCCACAGGAGACAGTCCTCCATGAACTTCTCCAGCGTGAGTCCTTCCCATGGCTGCAGTTCTTCATTAACTGCTCCAGCCTGGGTCCCGTCCATGGGGCGTAGTCCTTCAGGAGTGCTCCAGCGTGGGTCCCTCACGGGGTCACAAGTCCTGCCAGCAAACCTGCTCCAGCCTGGGCTCCTCTCTCCATGGGGCCACAGGTCCAGCCAGGAGCGTTCTCCAGCACAGGCTTCCTACGGAATCACAGCCACTTTCAGGCACATACACCTGCTTTGGCATGAGGTCCTCCACGGGCTGCAGGTAGAGATCTGCTCCACTGTGGAGCTCCATGGGCTGCAGGGGGACAGCCGGCCTCACCGTGGTCTTCAGCATGGGCTGCAGGGGCATCTCTGCCCCGGAGCACCTCCTCCTCCTCTTTCTTCACTGACCTTGGCACCTGCATAGTTTCCCTCTCACATATTCTTACTCCTCTCTCCGGCTGCTGTTGTGCAGCAGTTTTTTCCCCTTCTTAAGTCTGTTATCCAGAGGTGCTACTACCATTGCTGATGGCCTTGGCCTCAGCCAGCAGCGTGTCTGTCTTGGAGCCAGCTGGCATTGGCTTTATCAGACATAGGGAAAGCTTCTAGCAGGTTCTGACAGAGCCAATCCTGTGGCCCCCTGATACCAAAACCTTGCCATGCAAACCCGATACACAAGCATTCTTTTAAAAGGCTCATTGAAGTAATAAATTTAGTCACCTATTTGCATTTTGGGTTTCTTAAGGCAGGAAGCACTGTTTCATGAAAGGTTCTCTCTTCTGTGGCAGTACAGCTATCAATGATTTGCTGTTTAATTCAGTGCATTTGATTAATATATATCACAAAATAATGTCTTTAAAGTTATATTGAAGAAGCTTCAATACCGATTTTTTTTTCTTTTTTTTTTTTAAACCACTGTAGGTTTTGATGGTGGGGCAGTGAAAGTTCACGGAGCAAAAGGATCTCCTCCTTCAACATTTTATAAGGTATTATCACTTTCTGTGGAGTGTAAGGTATTTTTGATTTATGAAATTTTGTATTTTGGAGAAAATACTAAATACGTTCTGCCAAAAACTGTTACCAGTTTAAAATCCTCATCTTCCTTGCCCTGAGAGTAAAAGAAAGAAGGGAAAAAGAAAAAAGACAAACCTTATTTGATAGTAAAACCATTTTAATTTGTATAACAGGCTTATCCACAAACCTCCAGAGAAAGCTGGACTGGTTCTTTTATAATAATAATAATAATAATTTTTAGAACCTCTTAGCCCACTAACACCTTTATACTTGTTGATTTTTATACTGGCATGTTAATTTTGTTCTATGTCATTGTGAAATTTATCTGCTAAATAGTTTTCAAAACCTATAATGAATAACTGCATATGTCAAGAGAGCAAATAAGAATGAGACAGATAAGTCTCCTGAAAGAGTCTGTTGAAAGAAACCCGTGCTTTGTTCCTGTAGACTTCTAGTGGTCTCCATTCCCTGAATGGATACTAAGGTAATACAGTTCTGGTGAAGTACCAGTAGGGCTGGATCCTTTTCTTGTTTAAATTAGTGGCAAAACTGACTTTTACAGAAGCAAGGTCGAGATCAGAAATTAACTGCTTAGCACAGCCATATCAAAAGTGAGTTAACCTAAGCAGGGAATTGTGCTAATATTTCTGATAAAATTATGCTCAGACATACATTATATTATTTATCTTTGAAACTTTTTATTGCGTTTTTAAAATATTTCTGATGCTTTTAAAACAGTTTTTTATAAGATAGCGTTTAAGTTTTTGAAAGACACAGTATTTCAAAAGTAAGTAGTAGTAATATCACCAAAGCAGGTTTGGTTTTGGTGAGTTGGAAAGTCGGAATAGAAGAGCTCTCTAAAGGCTCCGTAATTGAAGCATAGTGACAGAGCATTTTTAGAATCTAATAGTACACCACAGGTTACTTTTCTCATGTACTTAGTAAGTTTTTCACTTCTATCAGCTTTCTAGTAATGCTGTTTGTATCAGCTTTATGAAGAAGGGTTTTTAAAAAAAGTATTGTGGGAGTGTAATCTGAACATGAATTTTCTAAACTTCCACCTGATACAATGAAGCATTGATTTTGTAAAATTTTTTTTTTTTTATAAAGAGCCTGTTAAGTACTGCACTTTCAGTACAATATTGTCAGCTTTTTGCATTTCTTCAACATCTGAATTACTAGTTCAATAGTTCCAGTTACATAATGCTGGAAAACAAATTTCCTTTCTCTGGGTGGTCTGTGTCTACATTGTCTCCATCTGGGAATAGCTATGTCTTTTTAATCTGAAAATACATTTTTGTTGTGTTTGAGATAACAACAGAAAGTCTTAAAACATGCATTATTAAGCATATTTCTAAAAGATGTTTAGTTTTAAAAATCAGGCTTACAGTGTCATTGTATAAGTGATGGAGAAGTCAATTTATCAGTAAGTCCAAAAAATGACGTAGAATGAAGAGTATATTTGTGTACAAAACATCAAATTCCATCAATCAAATGATAGCTATGCTAATGCTCTTACTATTCCTGTAGTAAATGGTGGAATTTGATACAGGTAAATACAGAAGGCAGTGAGTGTACGAAGCAGAAAATACTTTTTCTTCTCCGGTCCGAGTGTGTGATTTGAAGCACAACATGTTTTCCTTCTCAGCAGCTTTCAGAAACTGTTCTGTTCAACAGCCTTGTTCTCTTCAGTTTTTGTTCTTGACTTTACATTTCCATACATCTGTATATCTAAAGGAAATAATTGAGACTTGAGATTTTCAGTTGATGAACGATGAAATGGAATAAACAAAACAGAATAAGTGTTTTTTACATAGCAGTAAAATAAAAACATTTAAAATTTATTTCTTATTTATTATTATGTCCTAAGTAGGAAACTTGAAATGTATATGTTTAGGAATATTTTTTAATATATTTTATGTTTTCTGTATGAAAAAGTGTAATTATATTCTAAAATATGTAAGTTTGACTTCCTGTGAAATGCTTTGATTTTTTGAAACTGTTTAATTGGCTGTCAGTGATAAATGGACAGATGCTTTGCACACCTATTGAAGTAATTTTTAGGAAACTAATTTAGCATGTTTAGCTTGGCTAAGAAGTGGCAGAATGGGCATTATAACAAGGTAGAAATATTTTAAGAGTGTGTTATATCTTTCAGTAACTTTACAGTAAGTGTATAGGAAAATAATTGCTGCATTAAGGGTGGAGTGTAGTTAGTAAAACAATGATAAGGGAAAGTGAGATATAAGGTAAATTTCAGGGAAAATAATGAGAAATACATTACCTTTGAAATAGCTTCTCAAAAGAAATAGCTGAAACACTGTTTTTTGGGACATTTAGAAGTAGCCTGGTTTCAAAATTTACTGTAGGAAAAACATTTCTGGTTGCAGAGTTATGCTGAATGTCTTACCAGGTTCTTCAGTTTCTGTTTTAGTTTTTCTGTTGGGTAACAAATGTTGAAAATGCTTACCATGCTTAGTTTAGATGTATCTATTAAAAGCTTTTCTACTGTTTATGGCCACACTTTATGGTCATTACCTTCACTATATTAGAGCTCTGTTAAGCAGCTGTGGCACTGGAAGTGTAGTAAAACGCTTATTAGTTAATGTTTGCAATGTATAGCATGTTCTTTTGGGTGTGCATGCGTGTATATGTGGTATTTTTTCACATTTACTTCAATACTTCTTGGAAACTCATGTCTGATCCATTTCACTGTGATAGATCATGCAGCTTTTCAACATCACAATGTGTCCTATGTACCAAAATAGATAAGTACGGGAGAATTTAAGGATAACAACGAGAAGTGATTCAGAGTTTTGCAGATTTGAATCTTCAATAGAATTTTGAATTTTGAATAATGGAGTAAATTTTTGTGGTGATGATGATGATGGTGGTTTCTTGCTATTCCACTTCTGCTTAACATATGGGTAATGATTGTGAGAGGGCATTTATAGCATATCATACTGAATCCCATGTAATTTCATAATCCCTATATTGTTAGGTAAATGCCACTTACCTTGATGGCTTCAGAGCTACTGCTGTCTGTCCAGTGGGAGGTCCAAAGGCAATACAAAAAGGAAAACGCACTGCGGAAAGTATTCTGCAAAGGTTGGTATTTGAGCCTTGCAAGGTGTTTTGGCTGTTTTCAGAGGCTATGAAAATAGAACTGTGGCATTTGATAGCAACCATATTAACCTTGTAAGAACCCAGAAGACTGTAATATTCCAGCTGAGAGGACATTTCAAGACTTAAGTTGCCTGTTTAGGAAACTGTCTTCAACATATACCTACACTTACGGCTACATTTGACTGAGTGAGAAAGGTCTCAAACATTGTTGAAAATATATGGCTGTATAGCACAGAGAAACCCAAATGAGTGAAAAGCTGTGATTCAGACTAGAATTTATTAAGTGCCAAAGTGAAACTACTTCTCACAAAACTTCTTTTTATCAAAAATCTTAGTGCTATAAAATGTAGGCAGTTTACCAAGTTTGTGTTTTAAACAGAATTATCTTAGTACCTTGTAAAATGTTGCTAATGATTTTGTTTGCTAGGACAATCTTACAATTGTAAGACAGCCTGATAAACTTTTAGTCATATTGTCATGCCAGTATATTTGGGTGAGCAGGGATTCGTCTTAAATACGATTCCATATCCTTATGGAAGTCTCTGAGCATTTACTTCGATTGCCTCCAACTTCCTAATTATGAGATCCATCTCGTTGTGCCATGTTTTAGCTGTAACTTCCCCTCTGTGCTATTACAGACCCATGCAGCAAGTACACTAGGAGAGACACCTGTCAGACAGAAATGCAAGGTTCACTGTGAACTTAGAGTGACTTATTGCTCATGTGCCCATGTAGAGCACTGTGACGAAGGAGGAGCTGTGAGACTTCCCTCAAGAGACATAGCAGATGAGATCGGGCTGATACGGGATGTGTAATTAAGCTATGGAATCACTTTCTTCAGTGGTGCGAATGCTAAAAGTGTACGTGTCCAAGAGCTACAGAGAAAATCAATGGAGAAAAAAAACCCTTCAGGAGCTGTTAAATAAAAAGACTGACTCAGAAGTCTCTGAAAATCACTCTTTTTGGAAGCTAGGTGATTATTTTGGAAAAAAAGAGTAGAATGGTATATTTTCCCTTTCATGTTTGCTCTTGGACATTATTTCAGACTGGACTACGTGAATCTTTTGTCTGATTGAAACACAAGCTGATTGTCAGAATCAGATTCTGTCATTTAATCGGAACCACAAGCTGTGGTGCTGCTGCCTCTGTGACCACTAGAAAATTAATTCAGCCTGGTTAGTATACTGTCCTGAGTAATCCTCAGAAGAGGGCTGATGGGAGATAGCCAAAGGCTGGTTAAGTGGCTTGTTAAGTGGCCTCTAGCCCATGAGGCATGCCTGGAGCTGCTGTGGCTTGTTCTGTGCATTAAAAATCACAATATACAGTACTGCCCATCAATATATTCTCCATCTCAAACAGCCTTGAGCAGCTTAATGTGTGGAGTGGCTCGTTCAACGCATTGGGAAGATTTGTGTACGTCAGCCTAGATATAGAATAAGAGTTAAGCTATTCTGATCGCTGTCAGAGAATGTTCAGCTAGCAACTACACCTCTTTAGGAAGCTCTGACTTCAGTCTTTCTACCTGTCTTTCAGGTAGCCAGCTTCCAGTCCTTTCTAGATTAAATTCTGCCCAGTAGTCTAACGGCAACAAGTACAGAACAAAGTGCACAAGTTAAGGTGCTTCAATTGTACAGGTCAAATTAGTTGGCAGCCTAAGACATTAAGCAGCTTTGGCAGCTTATAATATTATTTCTTTCACTTCTTTCTTGCATGCTTCTCCTTTATTTGTTCGTTCATTTTTGAAAGCAGGAGAGATTTGTCTGTATGTGTGTGAGGAAATCTCTTTGGAGTAGTCTTTGGTGTCCTTTTATGTTTTGGTGATTCTCTGTTACATTACCAAGACACA